CAAGGAGGTTGGCCACGTCGACGGGGCACCTGAATAGTGAGCAGTGGGGGTGGAGAGGCCTGCTACTCACTTGGGTGGCTCAAAACAACCCGACGGTGACGACGTACCAGTCGTCACCGTCAGACGACGCGTATTCGCGTCGTCTGACCTTCGTTGCCGCATTCGCCTGGTCGTTGTGGTGGGCGCTCGTGAATCGTGGTGGGCGCTGGTCGCCGTTGGTTGATGGCGGTGCTCTGGTGGTGCCACGTCGTTGTCATCTGGTTGGTGGTGGGCGCTCGTGGATGGTGGTGGTGCCACGTCGGTGGTCGTTACCATTCGTTGGTGGTGTGTCGTGGCCGTTGTTGGGTCGTGTGGTGTTGTCGTCGTTGTCGCCGTTGTCAACGTGGTTGGTGGGAGGGAATGGAGGTGGGGAAGAGGATGGTTGGTGGGTGGAAAGGAAAGAGTGTTGCATTTGTTTGGTAGCGTTGCCTTTGTTTGGTAACAAAAGTAAAATAAACAAACAATTGACCGGATTCCGTTGCATTCCGTTCCTGCCATTCCTGCGGAACATTCCGGTGTCAATTCCGGAATGCCCAAATTCCGCCGGAATGGTAAGGCACCGGAATGATGAAAATAGCAGGCCTCCCTGCTAAATTTCATTCCTCCGGAATCCACCGGAATCCGCAGGAATGACCGGATTCCTGCAGGAATTAGGGGGGCACTGATAAGACCTCGTTTGTTTCTCCGCCCTCACATTCGGAAGGTTTCTCCGACTATATTTTATCCCCAGAACTGGAGGGAAGGTTTTCTACCTTTCCTTTCACATCCCTTCTGCATTCCGTTCCTGCCATTCCTGCGGAACATTCCGGTGTCAATTCCGGAATGCCCAAATTCCGCCGGAATGGTAAGGCACCGGAATGATGAAAATAGCAGGCCTCCCTGCTAAATTTCATTCCTCCGGAATCCACCGGAATCCGCAGGAATGACCGGATTCCTGCAGGAATTAGGGGGGCACTGATAAGACCTCGTTGTTAGAGAGGTCCTCCACCGCAGTTCCGAGTGGATCTAAGATGTACATGTGATCCTCCGCGAGAAAAGAACGACGCCGCAGGGAGGCCTTCAAGTTCCAGACAAGACGCCGGCCAAACCCTGGCATGCATGGTGCTCAACTAAAATTGCGGAGATAACGAAAATTCGACGCACCAAGAAACAGAAACCACAAGTTCCGTCGTCGCCCTCTCCAATACCTATGTTCCAATATTTGTTGAGAGTTTTCGGTGAAACGCACGGGTGGAAGGACCACACATGCTGTGGAGTTTGATCTTGGTGTGATTGAACCGGTGTTGTTTACTTCAAGACCATGAAACAAACAAAGAAACGCCTAGCTCGCACTTGGCTAAGTAATAGCAAACTTGCAGGTCAAAAGTCACGCGCCGCGTCAGTGAGTTAGCACCTTTCAAGTCTGCATTTTTTTGAGTGACTATGAGGTGCAAGGTTTAGACCACGGACACCGCAGGAATTCAACCCAAGTTCATGTGCGTTCCACATTCACCGCTTCGCCCCACTTCAATTCCTGTCCTTTCACTCCTTGTGACATGCAGCTCAGGAGTTTGGCGGAGCGTTGACTGGGGATGGAAGTATTGTAACCATCGGCCGGACATTATTCTTGCAGGCGACAACCTCATACGCTATATGCACTGAGCGAATTCGCGCTTTGCTATGCCTTCCTCAAACCACGAGTTATTTGCCCCCCCTTCAGATCTTTGATGCTATTCCAGGCCTATTGGACAGAGCCTGCACTTTGGATTGTACTTGGAAGCAAGCAACGCAGAAATCCTTCTTAGCGCTGCGGCCGAGAACCAGTTCTATCGATCTCCCTTGACATTGTCTGACTGCTTTTTCCGACATCCTTTATTTGACATAAAACTCAGGATTAAAAAGTTGTGCAACAAGTAAGTCAACACTTCATCTCCACTTTGTTGCAACTGATTCTCTTGTCCTCTTTCCACAAAGGCTTGAGTTTGAATGCGTCGTGGTTGAAAGTTGCTTGTTTTCTGAGGTTTCTGCAAGTCGGGTGTCAATATGTGTGGATGAAGCTTAAGGAAGGACAGTGAATGAAGGGCATGGCACGCACCCTTTGCCTGCCCACGTAATTTCTGGATGATATATCGAGCCAACTCAATGTGCTCCTCCTTTTGCGCTAACAACCCATGTAAGCTCTGAATGCCCTGCGAAGAAAACTACTTATAAGCCCAGCTACTGGAAATTAGGTAACTTGCAAACCTTGAGAAGAGCATCGTTTTCTTTCCGAAGTTGCATGCGCTCTTCTTCGAAAGCATCACACTCCGTTGAGATCAAGACAAAGTCATTGTCGATATCGCAGCTCAGAATGCTGTACATGTAACCGACTAATGCGAGAGGCACAGTGTGAAGGTGAGGAAAACATTGTTTGGGTTGCAAAGCTCTCTTTATACACCACGACGTGACGTCTTTGTTTGATTTAGTGTACCCTTACAAATGACTTCAAATTACAAACAACGAGAACCATTCTGCCATTGTCTGCATTGTTACTGAGCCACTAGGAAAGGGGCAGCTGAAAGGATGACGAGCAAAAATGCCTATTGAGACCTGTCAATTTACTGGGAAAAGTCAGACGTTGATGAGTTGAACTCACCATGGTTTTCCAGGTGATCTTCTCGACAAAAATGTTACACCAATCGGCCATCACTTCAGCGAATAATTTCAACCCTATCGCAAGATTTACGTTTTGCTCTAAACACAGTTTCCAAGCTCGGCAGCGGTCAATCATTGCAGGAATAGATGCCGTTTCACACGCGTTTGACAAATATTCCCACTCGCATCTCGATGCATCCTCTTTCATGACTTGCACACAAATGAATGGACAGGAATAGGGATACGGCAAGAACTCACAGAAGGAATACTCGGCTGCTAGGCTTAACACATCTTCTCGGACAGCAGAAAATAGCTTACTGAGACAGTACGCCGCAAGAAGGAGGGCAACAACGGAGGCAGCAAGATATATGTATCTGAAAATCGGTTGCAAAAGAAGAACAATTATTATTGTTCTCGAATACATACTTTTGAAGGATTTTTGGGGTTGTGTCATCAAAAAATCTGGAGGAGATTGAGGGGGTTGGACGGCCTTCGGCTACAGATGCAGTACTTTACAGTGCCCTACCTATTCCTGCAGGAATCCTGCAGGAATCTAGTCATTCCAGTGGAATTCCTGTGTATTCCTGTGGAATTCCTGTGTATTCCTGTGGAATTCCTGTGTATTCCTGTGTATTCCTGTGGAATTCCTGTGTATTCCTGTGGAATTCCTGTGGAATTCCTGTGGATTCCAGGGGAATTCCACTGGAATGGGACAGGATATGAGAAGAATAAGGTATAAAACCTCTATTTAAATGCAAGTATATGTTAATTTACAGTAATATACACTTCTGCATACTTCTCTTTACTACTATTCAGTTAACTATACATTTACACTAATATACACTTCTGCACACCTCTTTCTCTTCACTACTATTTAGTTGTCCTCATCATCTTGAGCTTCTTCATCTAAACCTAAGTTTTCCTCCTCATCTTCATCTGATTTCTTCATCTCTTGTTTGTGGAGGACATACTTTGTGTGATAGAACAGCATGGTGTGTAAAAACCAGTTGAAATTTCCAGGTGTCATATGTTTGAGAATTGATTGATATCCACCAAGCCATGCATTAAGTTGTTCACAAACCTAGATGTAATACAGTGTTGAGGTGAGATTGAATCTAAATAAAGTAATAAATACCTGTGTATTGAATGCTCGCTTCAAATATGCTCTACCATTCTTATCATATGCCATGACTACAAGGTTTGGAGCAGATCCATCTCCAGGTGAGGGATTACAATATTTTCGGCATAGAAAATCTAACACCCGATGATTGATATAGTGGTAGGCATCCACAATAAATCGAGTAGTTTTTTTCCAANATATCCCAACTTCCCCATTTGCTACTGCAGTGCAAACA